CTAAAATCCGCTGGCGTCTCTCGTGAGTTACAAACAAAAATGGAGGATCTCCCTTTTGATAAGCAAAAGTTGTTTGCTGAAAAGATTGATGAGGTCTTACATTCCAGTAAAGACTTAAAAATGACCTTGTGATCCCTGGGAATGTATACCCCACCATACCGCTGTAAACGGTATGTACCATATTGGAAACACCATGAGTTCTCATACTCAGGGTATCAACAGATTGAATCAGTACCTTCAAAAATAATTCAAAATGGTGACCCTAGCATCGATAATTCCAGCGTTAGAGAAGGGAGATTGGTTTGCAGCCCTCGACCTGTAGGATGCCTATTATCATATTACTATACACCCCGCACGCAGACGGTTCCTGCATTTTGTGGTGGGATCAGATCACTATCAGTATCGGGTGCTGCCTTTTGGCCTATCTTCTGCACCCAGAGTATTCTCAAAACACTTTGTAGGCAGGCCGTGATTATTTTTCCTTACCTGGACGATTGCTTAATAAAAGGTCCATCTGAGGCAGGCACACCAAATGATACTAATAACTAGGCAGACATTCAAGCTTCTTGATCTTATTCTCGACATCCCAAAATCAACGCTACAGCCTACAAAGACCCTGGAATTTATAGGGGCTCAACTGGACTCTACCTCTGCAAGAGAATACCTACTGTTATAAAGGTTTCAAGCGATCCAAGACCTTGTCGTTGCTCTCACAACTAGTCCTACAGTCCCAATATTTACCTGCCTTCAGCTCTTGGGCCACATGGCTGCTACCACATATGTGGTCAACCTCACACGCCTGCACTTTTGATGCCTCCAGCATTGGATTGCCTCTATTTATACTCACCACAGATAGCAAGTGCACAGATGAGTCTCTCCTCCTTTCCATGTTGTAAGGTCTGTCAAATGGTGGACCGATCCACACAACCTTTTGGCAGGCGTCCATTTGATCGAGATCAGCCCTTTGCCCACATAACCACAGATGCTTCCCTCATTGGATGGGATGCTCACACAGGCAGCATGTCAATACAAGGACACTGGATGACCCGAGAGGTGACCTTACATATAAATTTATTGGAACTCAGGGCTGTCTTCAATGCATGCAAGCATTTCGTTACACATACTCGAGACAACACTATCAGAATACTGACCGACAACATACCAGCAATGTATTATATAAATCTCCAAGGGGGGGAGGCTTGATCCCATTCTCTGTGTACTGAAACAGTCCAATTATGGAAGTGGTGCATATGGAACAGAGTCACTTTGATAGCTTCATACTTACCTGGCATCAAGAACATAACAGCAGACACTCTCAGCAGGTATTTTGCCCCAGATCATGAGTGGGAGCTTCATCCCTGGGTTCTTCAACCCATCTTCCACTGATGGGGGACACCCGAAAATAGACCTGTTCGCTTCCTACAAGAACACATATGTTGACCTTATTGCTCCAGAGCTGGTATCGGACCAGGATCTCTAGGGGATGCCTTTCTCCTCAACTGGAAAGGCCCACTTTTGTACGCATTCCCTCCCACTCCTCTCATTCCCTGAGTGCTGGAAAAGATCAACAGAGATGAAGCAACAGTTATTCTCTTAGCTCCGTTTGGGGCACAACAGATATGGATCCTTTTATCTGTATCTGATGTCTCCTCAACCACCCTATTACCTTCCCATTCACCATGACCTCCTAACTCAGAACAGTAGAACCTTACTCCACCCATAGTCACATGTTCTATACCTGAGAGCTTGGCTTATTGTTGGTTCTATAAAGGGGAATTTCATAGTTCTAACCAAGTGAAAAATGTCCTCTTGCACAGCAGGGAGCAATCTACCCATTCCACTTACCTCCAAAAATGGTGTAGATTCCTTTCATGATGTTCTAACAAAGCTTTGGACCCAGGTACAGTACCTCTACACAAAATTGCAAACTATATCTAGTTCTTGAACGACGCTATGTTGGCCCTTCCCTCCTTAAAAGTACATTTGGTAGCCATTACTGCTTTTCATCAAACTGTTGATAGTTGTTCAATTTTCACACACCCTATAACTAAAAGATTCATTAAAAGCCTATCTAACCTATAACCACCATGTAGACTACCACTGACAGTATAGAATCTGGAGATGGTGTTGGACACTCTTACCCATGCTCCCTTTGAACCTTTAGCTACCTGTCCACTTTTCATAATGACGCTGAAGGTAATTTTTCTATTTTCAGTCACTTCTGCCTGCAGAGTAGGAGAACTGGCAGCTTTAATGGCAGTACCACCCTACACCATTTTTAATAAGGAAAGTGTTATATTGCACCCACATTCTTCTTTATCCCCAAAGTTTGTTCGGAATTCCACATAGATGAACCAATTGTCCGTCCTTCCTTTTTCCCTATGCCACACTTGACTTCTCGGGATGCTATGCTTCATTCTGTGGATGTCCACAGAGCACTCACGTTCTATATAGACAGAACTTGAACTTTCCGTAAATCTGAGCTCTGAGCATTTGCTAATCTCAATAGCGGAATGCACCAAAAGTGACCCACTCTCATTGCACTGCATTTCCAAGCTTATAATTTCCTGCATTACAAAGAACTTATACCATTAGTAATAAATCACTTCCTGAGACACCTACAGCACATTCTATCAGAGCTGTAGTGACCTCCACAGCTTTCCTTTAGGGAGTCCCCCTCAGAGACATTTGTTTAGCGACTATATGGCCCACCAGTGACAAGCTAAGGACACTACCATGGCCTCTGCAGTGCTATTGACTACCATCAAGTCATGACTCCGAGGCCCACCTTCCACTTACTCTTGAGTACTGCTTCACAGTCACCAACAGTGGAACACCCACAGGGACATCACTCGAAGAAGAAGAGGAAGTTACTCACCTTGGTGCAGTAATGACGGTTCTTTGAGATGTGTCCCCCCCGTGGGTGCTCCACTACTTGCCCTCCTCCCCACTTCGGAGTCTCACGTTGTGTCTTTCAGCTATCCAGATGGACTCGAACTGACAGGAGCTGGACTGTGGCATGATCAAAAGGGCACAAATGGCTCGAGGTGGAAGCCACACATGTGCGGTCCGGCTGACTACTGCTCATGAAAAGTCCAATCTGCCGTGCCGAGACCACCTGACACCAACAGTGGAGCACCCACGGGGGGACACATCTCGAAGAACTGTTGTTAGTGTACCAAGGTGAGTAATTTCTTCTTCTCCAACTTCCTGGATGTCTGGACTTTTTCAGATTGCTAGGTTCTCAGCACAATAGAACTGGATTGCAACATGTAATCCCAGCTTCCAATCTCATGTCTTTCTTGAGGGACCCTTTTCATGAGTAACTGTTGGAAAAAGGAAATCCACTCCCTTCTTCAGGTGGAAGCCATTGGAAAAAGTTCTGTTTCACCTAACAAATTAGTAATTTCGTCCCTACTTGGGACATGAGCCTTTTCCTGTCAAAGCTTACCGAATCCCTATTTGAGCTGCTAGCAACGTGTTCAGTGTTGAATGTTTCCTGGAAGGTGGCCTTCCTAGTGGTCATCACTTCAACCAGACTATGCTGAGATCTGGGCCCTCATGTTAATGTCCCTATATACAGTCGTTTTTAATGATAAAGTCCAATTACAGCAGGGATAATTTTTGGGGGGGAAGCCACTCCAAGAATTTAGTAAGTGGTAAAAGGCTGCACTTTTCTGTGATATTAATGGAGGTGGTGCTGGGTCTGCCACTGAAGTTGTGTGCAGGAGAAAGCTTGAGGTAAAGGATTGGGCTGTAGGAGGTAGTGTGAGGTCTGGGAGGGAGTTTGGGTTAAGGTGGGGGCTGTGACTTGGGGTAGGGGATAGGTGTGCAGGAGCGCATGCAGGGTCCAGGAGGAGTATGGGGAGGGAGTTGGTTAGAGCACTGGCTTCGGGTTTGCTGGCAGGGGGGTAATGGGGATGGGGAAGACAGGGAGCCTGCTCAAGGAGCCTGTTGGGCCACCAGATGGAGCCAAAGGTTTGATGGGATGGATCCAGCCCTCTGGACCATATTTTGCCCACCCAAGTTACAGCCACATGCACCATTCCTCTTAAATGTGGTTTCACAATTCCACTGCAGTCAAGAATCTTCCTGCCATGATTCTACCCTAAGCCACATGTGAATAAAGAGGAACAGTGCCTTTACTCTATGGATGTCAGGCAGACCCTGGCTTTCTAAATACAAATAATCAGATCACTCTGCAGATCTACTCAGCTATTTATAGCGATAGTAGAAAAAATGAAGGGTCTCCCCATCTCTGCACAGAAAATCTTATTTTGGATTACGTCTTGCATTCCAGCATGTTATGAACTCCAGTTAATCTGATGGCTCACTCCACAAGGTCTTAAGCCTTCTCCATTGCTTTTCTAGAACAAGTTTCAATTCACAACATCTGCAGGGTAGAAACCTGATTGTCAGTCCACCCATTCACAATGCATTATGCCATTACCCAGCAGACTGGAGACAATGCCATATTTGGGCGAACAGTCAATCTGCCCTTGAACTCTGAACCCTGATTTGGAATGGAAATGTGCAGACACTCAAGTAGAAAAAAGGGATACTAATCTTTCCATAACTGTTGTACTTCAGGATGTGTTGAACATGTCCATTCCAAAACCCACCTACTGGGCTCACTTATCAGAGTTGGTTGGTAAGAAGAAATGAATGATAATAGGGTCTATGGGGCCATTTATACTGGCAGCATGAGCACGTGACACCAGAGGACTTTGGAGCTGACCTGAACGATATCACTAGAAGAAACATTTCTGGAATCTGTGCTCAGGGCATGCACACACCTATATTGGAATGGACATATGCAACATATATCAAAAAACTGGATGATGAGAGCTCAGAGTTCCTAATGACTTTGACAAGTTTAGTATGGTAAACTCTGGACTATATACATGCTAGAGGCTAGCACAAGGTAAGAAACTTTATGGGCCCTTGGCTAAATACCTTCCCTCCTTCTTTTAAATGTGTAATTACAATGTTTTCAACAGATCTCCTGTAAGCAGCTTACAGATTCGCTATGACCAGTCAGTGAACAGCAGTGTGGAAAATTTGCCCCCGGTAGCTGCCAGCATTGAACAGCTTTTGGAGAGGCAATGGAGTGAAGGACAGCAATTTTTGCTAGAACAGGGCACCCCTAATGACAGTAAGTATTCACATTTTTTTTTTTTTTTAGAGGGGCAGTGTTCTAGACAACTATCGCCCAGTGAATGTGATACAAGACTTTACACAACCTGATTGCCATTTTATGCTGCATAATTTATAACTTCTGTTTGATAGTGATTAGCATGGCTCTACAAACAATGTAATCTACTTGCCTGTGGCGAGTAGATTACACCCCGGAAGAGCTGGCGCAGAGCGATCTGCACATGCGCAGAATGATCTGCACATGCGCAGAACCACGCGGCTGGCGAGCAGGGTTCACCGCTGCTCAGCGAGCCCTGGTGATTAGTATGAAGGCATATTTCCTGAATTGTGCTTTATTTTATGTGATGCTGATATTCTGAAATGTTTTCTTTAGAGCTTTATTTCTGGTATTTTTAGTCTAAACTACCTGCTTCGCTTGTTGTGAGAAACACTGTTGTTTTTCACAAGTGTTGTGCAGCTGTCCTCAGGGTTTTTGTATTTGTTTGTTCTTTGTTTCATACAATTTTTGTATAAGTTATTTATTTTTCAAGAGTTTTGTTTACCAAAATGAAATAAGTGAATACAAATAAAACTTAACTGAGGAAAAAATATTGCTTTTGATTTATTCATAATTGATGAAAACTCAGTATCAATAAAATTGGTAGAATAGTTTTAGAAAAGGAATAAAAATAATTATTTTGTCACTTTTTTGTATACTTATGTTATTGAACATGCTATTCTGGTTGTTGGTAGAGAATAAAGTGCCATCTAGTTGGTACTTTTATGAATGGTACCCTGACAAAAATGCTAATTGTGAGGAAATTCATGCAGGGATAATCCTTTAAACATGATAGCTGGAGGACAGGTTTAGCTAAGTCTTATTGCATCTCATTTGGGCGCTCTGAGGGTTCCTTTGTATGTTCTTGAAGAGGAGGGATAAAAGCTAAATCCTTGGGAAATGACCAGATGTGCCTATACCAGTAGACTTGTGTCTGTTGTAGGCCCAGAGGTCATGTTAAACAAATACATTTTGGTATTTAAAAAGTGGCTGGCTATCCCTGTGGCATAACAGTCACTCTGTAGCTCTAGTTGGGACATCCATGTTCTGGAACAAAATCAGAATTTGAGGAAATGTGCACAGTAAAAGCTGTGTCTTTTCAGATGATGATGTGCTTTATCTGTAAAGAAAGGGTGGTAACTGCAGTGCTCATGTAGTGCTCCCTGCTGGGTGATCTATAGATCAACACTGAAAGCAGCTGGAAGATTTGGCATCCAGCAAGGTGTATGGTGATTCAAAACAAAAACAACCAATGCTCTTCCTCTCCCCAAATCTGAATAAAGGATATTCATTGATCAAATAAATTTGCAGTTTATGTGATAAAGAACTCAACAGAGAAGCTTCTTTTGCTCCTTTTCTTTTGGGGTTTTAAAATACAATATTAGTTGACTACATAAAATAATGCATATATCTTAGAGTTTGTTGTATTTTAAGCTTCATAACCCAATCCTGTTTTTATTTTCTTTTTTATGGCTATATTAATTGAAGAAGTTCATTGTACTGAAACCTGCTCAAAATCAGCATAGACCATAATGATTCGACTGTCACTGCATAGAAATAAGGGTCCATCCACATGGATCCATAGTTGCAGGATTTGGATCTTAAGTTATATATTAGTTTATATATTGTAAATAGCATACATCTGATTTCAAAAGGAAAGATTTTAAGATTTTTTTTCTTTATTTTAGTACATTGTTCAGTAGTTTTTGGGACGGATTTTCAGTTTAAATTCTATCCTAATTGGCACTGTTAATTTTCAGTGCATAACTAGAGATGCTAAGGATTTATACTGAATTTAAAACTCTAGCACATGACATATTGTGCAATCCTGAGACATTCTTTATAAGAAAAAACTTTAAATGCGACTTTAAAAGAGTCAGATTTATTAGTCAATTGTTTTCTAGTTCTGGGAATGTTGAAGTCATTACACCAACTTCAAGTTGAAAATCGACGATTAGAAGAGCAGATTAAGAACCTCACTGCTAAAAAGGAGCGCCTCCAGCTATTAAATGCACAGCTTTCAGTTCCCTTTCCAACAATAACTTCAAACCCTAGCCCATCTCATCAAGTACATGCATTTCCAGCACAAGCTGGTAAGTAGAAAAAAATGTTTCCCACATTTTGCAAAGTTCTCTTATCAAAGACGAATGAAGACTCTTTATGTGAAAGGCCTATTTTACCACTATTTACCATGAGTAGGAGATGCATGTGTGTATAAAGAGAATAGATCAGTATAATTTGTGTTTTTAAAAATGATCTTTCTGGTACATATCATTATTTTTGTTGGAAAAAAATTGATAAGTTTATATTGGGTTTGGCAATTTTTTAGATATAAGCTTTCCCTGAACAATTTACTTGTCTTGTACAAAAACAATTAAAAGTAAAAGTCTTGGAAAGTTTTCACAAAAGAAACATTTCCCCTTTTTAAAATGTATTTAAAGAAGCATGAGACTTGCACAAATAATTGGTATTTATGTCCAAGACTTCACTTTTTTTTTACCATTCCGTCTTGAATCCATTTATCACCTTTCACTAATCAGTTAAGCTAATATTTGACTTTAGGGTTGTGATGATAAGAAATGAAATTTATGTTTAAGCTTTGTGTATTCTATAATTAACATCAGCATTCTGCTGAAATAAATTATTCTGAATATTTTAATATTTTAAACACATTAAATGCGAAAATTAAACCACTTTATTTTTTGAATTATCACTTTAGCATCTAGCACTGATTCCTTGAACAGCAGTAAAAGCCCTCATCTGGGGAACAGTTTTTTACCCGACAATACTGTCCCTGTGTTAAACCAGGTAATTTTGTTTTTATTATTGTTTTCTTACCTTGTTATAAATTAATGTCATCTCAAAATCCCTGCTCTCTTCTGTTAGGTTTGAAATTCTGTATAGCTGAGACTGTTTTTCTTTGTTTTTTACATTAGGAAATAACCTCCAGTGGACAAAGTACCTGCAGTTCATCAGTTCTTTCCACTCCACCACCTTCTGGGCAAAGCAGGTCAATGGTGTGACAGTGGGAGCACGATCTAGTGGTATGCAGACTGTAACATCCACCATTCCTGCAGTGGCTGGTGTGGGCGGAATAATTGGAGCTTTGCCAGCTAACCATCTGGCAATCAATGGAATTGTCGGGGCTTTAAATGGGGTGATTCAGACCCCTGCTACAATATCCCAGAATCCTTCTCCTCTCACTCATGCAGCTGTGCCACCTAGTGTAACGCATCCTTTGCCAACAACACTAAATAACAGGTAACATTCTTATTGTAATATATTTTTTACTGTCACCATACACTATGTGCAACACTATCTTAATTTGGTTAAACAGCATAGAGTTAATTTTATTTAGCATTTCTTCTAGCATATGAATGCCTGTCTAGATTTTTGTGTTCTGTGTAAGATCAGGATTAAGAGGACAGGAATGTAATTGCATCATGGAGAATGAAGTTTAGAAATCAACAGTATTCTGTATAAAAATATACAGTACCCATCCTACAATTTTTGGGGCTTCACTGATCATGTTAGTTCATCTATTTCTGCCATTTATGTTTGCTTCTAAATATGCTCTATTTGATCCCTTTAATGTGTCACAATGAGCCCAAATAGTTCACTCAAAAGAAAAGTAATCTTAACTAGAGTAAACTTTTTCCAGTGGCAGTGAAGTAGCATTGAAAATGACTTGAAGAATGGTGTTGCATTGTATCCTACAGGCAGTATATTATATAATAAAAAATTACACAAAAAGAGTATTTATGTTAGAAAATCAAGCACTCCAAAGTTAGAAAATGGTATATTTAAAAGTTCCAGTGAATCTTAGTTTTTCCCCCTTGCATAAGTTGGGCAGCATTATTGTTACATGAACTATCATAAATTTGGCATTTCCTAATTTGAATGTTTAATTTGCAAGCTAAATAATGTTCTTTTAATGTAGTCTTTTTGTAAATAATTTCCTGGGTTTTTTTGGTTTGTTTGTTTGTTTAAAGAACAACTGTAAAAACAAATTAAGTTATGAGCATCTATAACAACTCCCCTCCCTCTCAACAAAATGTATCATAAACAGTGTTTGAATCCTAACCCTTCAGGATTGTAGTATAGACTGCTATCACTGCATCTATCTAACTGTGTTATCTGGCAACAGGGGATGACAGTTATCCCAGAGGGAGGATCAGTCTATTCGTATTGGAAGGTAGTTGAGATGAGAGGCCAGCCTAGTCCTGCTCTCTTGCTTCCTGCACCACTTGGGAATTATAGAAGCTCCAGTTCCATGTGGGCTGCCCCCAGAGAGTGGAAGTAGAGGAAATGGGCTGCTACGTGTGACTGAGGTTGTGTCTAAACTACCTCCCTTTCTTGAAAAAGGGATGTAAATTAGACACTTCAAAATTGCAAATGAAGCCGGGATTTAAATTTCCTGTGCTTCATTTGCATAATGGCAGCTGCGTTTTTTTTTATAAGGGGCTTTTCGAAAGAAAAATGGCTGTTTAGATGGGGATTGTTCAAAAATAAAACCCTTTTTTGAAAGATCCTGTACTCCTCATTTTTTCAGGAGTACAGGATCTTTCAAAAAAGGGTTTTATTTTTGAACAATCCCCATCTAAACAGCCATTTTTCTTTCGAAAAGCCCCTTATAAAAAAAAACGCAGCTGCCATTATGCAAATGAAGCACAGCAATTGCCATTATGCAAATGAAATGTGGGAAATTTAAATCCTGGCTTCATTTGTAATTTCGAAGTGTCTAATTTACATCCCTTTTTCGAGAAAAGGGATGTAGTTTAGACTCAGCCTGGGGCTGTCTAACTTCCAGGGGCAAGGGAGCATCTCAGCTTCATTTGGTTCTCCCAAAAGGGGGCATTGGTAACCTCAGCCATTTCTTGAGGTGGGGAGACCAACTCCAGATCTCTCCTTCTCCCACATCCCAGACTGCACGGATGCTCTCTCAAATGAAAGATCTGATTGCTATTCACAGAATAGCCACCAGACCACCTGTGCTTTTATCAATTGGCTCTTTTTGTGCAAAAAAACCCTGTTGCTCTTGTGCAAAAAGGAGTTATTCCTCATAGAAAGAGGAATACCTTCACCGCAAAAACCCCTCTCTTCTTTTGATTTACTGTAAATTTACTTGCACAAAAACGTGCTTAAGGTGTGGACACTCCGCGGATTTTTGCACAAAAACCCCGTAGTGTAGATGTAGCCTGAGAGCGTAGCACTTTTGAATGTTTGTGTGTTGTTCTCAGAAATGAAATAAGAGAAGGGACTATTTCTAATAAGTTTATCTCTTAGAAAGAGCTGGATAGAATGTCATGATACAAAAAATAGGCATGTCTATAGCTCAAGGGCACTATTGCTGTTGACTAACAAAGTTGTCATTTTATAATAGGAAGTGTTAGGCAACCAAAATTTAGGGTTTTTAAACTGTTTTTCCTATTATAATTTTCTTCTCACATATATAGTGATGGGGTCCAAATACTGCCATATTTTTCTCTACAATGTTGGTAAAATCTGACCATATGTTTCTGTCTGTCGAGATCCTGCAAAAACTCTTGTGCATGCCTTCCTCATATTGTAACTTCAGTTATGGTAACCTGCTCCTCTACGGCCTTTTGGATAAACACATCATCTGCTTCTATCCATTCAAATGATGCTTTCAAAATTCTATTAACTGTCAATTTAAATACATACCCTCCCATCTTGGAAACACTTTGAAGAGTCTCTCTTCTCCACTATTTTAAGTTTCAATATCACATCTGCCCATTCCAGGTGGTTCATAACTGTGGCTGTGCCCCCAGTTACCTTCCTTTCTCCTTTCTTATTTCATTTTCTGCTTTGCTCCCTGAACAACGCCAACTTCAGTGTCCCACTCATGCTCTTCTTCCATGCACTTGTTGCTCATTTGTAATGTTCCTCCTTCTCTTTCAAGTACCTTCCTTCCTAGAACCCATTTCTGCATGTAATTCAACTAGTACATCCATGTAGTCATACTTTACAAAAAACAAATCCACCTTCCTTACTGCATCAGAGCAAGCACTAACTTTCACCGATTAACTGTATAATCTTATTAATGCCACTGGAGCATTTGTTTGTAAGGAGTCATATTGTGTCTTTCCATGTTTTTGAAGGATTCTTGCACATCTTTAGGTGCAGATATCTAGCTAGCTAGCTATCGTTTCACACAGAAACTTAAAAACCATTGTTTCTGAACATTTGCTGAGCACTGTTCTGTCCTGTCCACTCTTACAGTTAAACCATGTTCAGCACTGGTTCAGCTACACTTACATTCATTACCCTGTGTCTTTTCTATACTAAATACCTTTGAAAAAGTCTCTTGCTTTCGTACTATTACTGATACAGCTGACACAGTGGGAGTGCTTATTTAGACAGGGCTTAGGGAGGCATTGCAGTTTTGCCACAATGTTGGCTAGATTTGCTTTGAACAAGGTTAGAGGACATGATGGAATAAACACTGACAACTTGTCTATACAAGCATTCCTATATTGAAAAAAAAAGTGCTAGCATGGACACAGTCCTAAGGTTTTAAAGAATTCACCAATATTTAGGGTGAATGGCCACTATTAGTTAATTGTCAAGGTCATGGATCTGAAAAAACAACTTAATGTGGGAGATAGTGTAACTGAAGACCTGTGCGTACATGTTGCTTTCATAGATCCACACACACTTCTCATTACTGTTTTCAGTAGTGAAATGGACAGCTGTGGCTGGGGAACAATCCTATTTTTCTGCAGATAAATGATATATTAGTCAGAGGCCTAAAAAAAGGAAATCCTGTATTGGCAGCAGCCTAGAGTCCTCCTTCCTTAGCCTGTGACCCTGGGCTGCAGCCCCTGTAGTCCCTTTCTTAGTCCAGCCCTGTATGTGAGGGTGTAGAGAGATGTCCAAGCTAAAAATTAAATTCAAGTTCTTGGCCTGGTTACAGGTAGAATGGTGGTGCTATCTGTAGTACTTTAGAGAGGAGATATTGGGGGCATCTAAAGAGGAGGAATTGAGAGTTTCTGTTTTAGCCATGTTGAGCTTGAGCTGATATGGCTAGACATCCATTAGAAGATGTCAGAGAGAGAAAGAGACTGAGATTTCAGTTTGGACAGGTCTGTAGTAGACAGATCTGCAAGGCGTCAGCATAGTTAAATTTGGGTTTGAGAGTTAGATTCAAGTATTCAGGCATATGTGAACAAAATGTTTGTAAGTTGTGTGCATATTATAACTGTACTTCTTATTTTGCTGTCCAATTTATGCAAGAAATAACTACTTATTTGCAATTGGTATTCACTTGACAAAATGGTTTATAGCAAGTAACTACTACTTACCGAAAAGTGTATACATGGTTTGGATTTGTAATGCTGAAGTAAAATGGATGTCTCAGGCCTCCATTAGTCAAGTATGTTACCTACAATGTTACATTGCAGAAACTAAGAGCTTGGGTTTTGCTTTGCAGTGCCTCAGGACTCGGATTACTTCCTGACCAGCAGAGACAACTTCTGCTCCATCAACAGCATCAGCAATTTCAGCAGTTACTGAATACTCAGCAACTCACATCAGTATGTCCTATACTTAGAATAGAATTAACTATATTTTGTGTAAACTTGAGACAGAACCACTTCTTTCTTGAGATATAGACAAACTCCTTATGCTAATACAAATATTAGACTTATGTGAATGAACTCCTTGGTCACATGTCTGTTTAAAAATAATTTTCAAAAATAGTTCATTGTTCAATTGTCTGCACCTTTTTATAATATGGAGAATACGTTCACTGTAAATAGTGGTGTTCGTTGAAGGATATATATGCCACTTGGCAACTGCTTGGAAATACTGTAGTTTGTATTGTATTGGAAGTAGTGTGATTTTAATTCTGTGTCAACATTTTGGAGACCCTTTTTTTGTAAGAAAAGAATATCAAATCAATGGTCTCGTGATAGACAGAGCCCAGTATGAATTCTATTCTAGGATGAGGATATCCACAGATAGATACAGATATCTGCTGATCTGCAGGGATCTACTCCCAGTAACCACAATGGCCAAAGGAAAAGAATGTGGTGCTGCCACTCGCATCAGCTCTTCTTGGCCATATGGCTATACCATCTCTGGTGTGGCTGTACAACTTCAGACAGAAGATGTGGCTAGAGATGGGACAGTGTCTTCTGTTTGGGGTTGTGTAGCCTTGCTAGAGGTGGTTCAGCCGCAGAGCCCAGAGGAGCTGCTGGCTTGGGGTGTTCGTTGTCTTCTGGGAGCAGCAGGACCTTTTTCTTCTCCTTTGGCCACTGCCATGCCCAGAAATAGAGCACTGCACTTCAGCAGAGACTGATTTTGAAATGTGTGTCTGTACAGCAATAGAGGCTTGTCCAAGCCAGCTGGCTCAGCTGAACTTCTGTTGAGCTGCTGAATTCACAAAAGCTTTAAGAAGCTCTCTTTTCCATCATTCCTGTGGAGCTTCATCACTGTAACTCAAGTTACTTGGAATGTGATAAATTGATTACACTGCAATAAAGTCTATGGTAGGAAAGGACCTGGAAACGAGTAACCATTCATTGAATGATTGTTGATCAGGATGTTTTTCCCTTATATTACCTAAGGAACATCATCAGGCCCTTCTGTATCAGCTTGTGCAGCAACAGCGCCATCAACACCAACAGCACCAGCCTGATATGCAGCAATTGCAGATCCCAGGAGCTGCACAGATACCCATAAATAACCTGCTTTCAGGCACTCAGGCATCACCCCTTCATACAACTACAACCAACCCATTTCTTACAATCCACGGGGATAATGCAACTCAAAAAGTGACAGTAAGTGCCTTTTCACCTATAATGGCATTTTCAGTGATATAATTAAAGGAATATTGTGCCAAATTCAGAGACATCGCTTGAGGAGAATCACAAGTTTAATTTGGTGTAACCTATGTCTTTTTTTTTGTCTGTAGAAGGACTTTATTTAGGGTTCTTCAGACTCTAACCCACTTGCTGTAGTAATTGCTATACTGGATAAGATCAGTAGTCCGCCTTGCTCAGTATCCTCACTCTAAGAGTGGTCTGCACTAGATGCCTGTAAGATATGTGCAAGACACTCTCTAGTGAACTTCTTTCATTTATCTTTGTTTAATTGACATTCAGGCACACCAATAGAGGGGCAGAGAGGGCAGCTGCTCTGAAGCCCAGTGATTCTAAAGGGCCCAGGGCTGTCATTGCAGCCCTGGGGGCCCCCAGCTCTTTAAACAGTGATGCGCTTTGGTGGCAAACAGCTGGGAAAGGAAGGGGGATGGAGTGGAGTGCACCGCACATAGCTAAGGACTGTCTGCCCCCAGCCTCACACTTTTTATTTTCCATGGCTAGCTCATCTCTGTAAGTGTTTCAACAGAGGCTACCAATATCTCCACCACTTGTCCCATCTGCTAGAGAGATGCAGAAATCCAAACCTGTCTGCGTGTGTCTGAGTGCAATTTTGTCAGGCTGAACTTCAAGAGGGTCCCCTAGTCTTTGGGCATTGGCTATCATGGCAGAGGAACTTGTCAAGCATATTATTTTTTTCCCAAATGCTCAGTGAGGAAGGAGAAACGCTAACAGGAAACTTGGGAAGTGGCAGAGGTGCTTAATGACTTCTTTGTTTCCGTCTTCACCAAGAAGATTGATGGTGACAGGATGCCTAACATAGTGAATTCTAGTGGAAATGGGGTAGGTTTAGAAATTAAAAGAAAAGAAAAAGTTAAAAATTACTTAGAAAAGTTAGATGTCTTCAGGTCACCAGGGTCTGATGAAATGCATCCTAAAATACACAAAGAGCTGATAGAGGAAGTATCTGTGCGTTAAGTTGGGAGAGATTCCAGAAGACTGGAAAAGGGCAAATATAGTACCCATCTATAAAAAGGGAAATGAGAACAACCCGGCAATTACAGACCAGTCAGTTTAACTTCTCTGCCAGGGCAGATAATGGAACAGGTAATTAAGGAATTCATTTGCAAACACCCGGAAGAAAATAAGATAATAGGTAACAGCCAGCATGGATTTGTCAAGAACAAACCATGTCAAACCAATCTGATTGAATAAGGGACATGCAAGGGATGTGGTATACCTAGACTTTAGTAAGGCATTTGATACAGTCTTTCATGTCCTTTTTATCAATAAGCTAGGCAAATACAATTTAGATGGGGCTATTAACTGGCTGGGTGCATAACTGGCTGGATAACTATTCTCAGAGACTTCAGGGGGTAGCCACGTTAGTCTGTACATAAAAAAAAAACAAAAAAAACCCCAAATGGTCTGGTAGCACTTTATAGACGAATAAAACATGTAGATGGTATCATGAGCTTTCGTGGGCACAGCCCACTTCTTCAGATGACCAGAGTTATGAGTTTAGGATGTGCAGACCCAAAATAAATAGGAGAGGGGAAGAGGAGGGGGGTGGGAAAAAAGGCACTACCAACTTAACACCGGATGAAAGTAAAAACTCCTATGTCAGGAAGGATACTATCAATTAACTTTGATTCTTATCTGCTTCATTTTAACTACCCAATCTTCAGATACTTACTGATTCCCTCTAGCTCCCTGTCTTCCACCCCCTCTTTTTTTCCCTCCCCTGACCCTCTCCTATTTATTTTGGGTCTGCACATCCTAAACTCAAAACTCCGATCATCTGAAGAAGTGGGCTGTGCCTACGAAAACTCATGATATCATCTACATGTTTTGTACCAATTAAGCTACCAGACCATTCATTGTTGTTCTCAGAATAGTTATTAATGGTTAAGTCATGATGGAAGGGCATAACAAATGAGGTTCTGCAAGGGTCTGTTTTGGGACTGGTTCTGTTCAATATCTTCGTTGACAATTTTAGATGATGACATAGAGAGTACACTTATTAAGTTTGCAGATGATACCACCCTGAGAGGGGTTGCAACTGCTTTGGAGGATAGGATCATAAATCAACATGATCTGGACAAACTGGAGAAAGGTCTGAGGTAAATAGGATGAAGTTTAATAAGGACAAATGCAAAGTACTCAACATAGGAAGGAACAATCCATTTCACACATACAGAATGGGAAGTGACTGTCTAGGAAGAAGTACTGTAGAAAGGAATTTAGGGATCGTAGTGGATCACAAGCTAAATATGAGTCAAAGTGTGACACTGTTGCAAAAAAAGCAAACATGATTCTGAGATGCATTAACAGGAGTGTTGTGAGCAAGGCATGAGAAATCATTCTTCTGCTCTACTTTGTGCTGATTGGGCCTCAACTGGAGTATTGTGACCAATTCTGGGTACCACATTTCAAGAAAGATGTGGAGAAATTGGAGAAGGTCCAGAGAAGAGCAACAAAAATGATTAAAGGTCTAGAAAACACAAGCTGCGAGGCAAGGCTGAAGGAATTGGACTTGTTCAATATGAAAAAGAGAAGATTGAGAGGGGACATGATAGCAGTTTTCAAGTATCTAAAAGGGTTTCTACAAGGAGGGTTTCTACAAGGACCCACGAGTATAATGCCCTACCTGTCCAGACCCCAAGCCCTGCGTACCCTGCCCAGATCCCAAACCCCCATGAACACCATTCTCTCCCCGCCCAAGGCCCCATCTGCTCCCTGTTCAGGGCCCCAGCAGGACTCTGCTTCTGCCCCTTACCTCCTGGCCAGACACCTACCCCCGGCTTGCTCCTGCAGCCTATTTTCCACCCAGATTCTGCACCCCATCTGTATCTCACTGACTGGCAGCCTTGTCCCGCACACCTCAGAGTGTAGAGGGCCCCACAAATTCCACTAACCCTCAAACCCCAGAAGAATTAATCTAGCCTGAGGCCTTGAACCTCACTCCTACCCTCGTGGGGCTGGGGTGCAAGGATCAGGAGGTGTCTCAGTTGGGGCCAGGAGGGTTTTGGGGATTTTTTGCATCTCACTTGTGTGTTCCCTGACTTATTTTTTTCGTGGCTCAGTGACCCGACAGGTTCCCTGCTCTTCCCATAAATAAAGACAATGCTGAAACATTTGTGCTGGACATATTTTATTTAAAAATGAAGCCTAGCTCACAAAGCCCCAGTTGGGGCCAACCCCCCATCTGGCCACAACATAACACCCTTGCAGCCCCACACACACACCTCAATCCTGAGCCTCTCACCTCCCCAGTCTTCTGCCACAACATTACTTCACAATCCACACACTACAAATTTGTGTCCTGAGCCCATCATACTGCCAACCCCCCTGCCCTGAGCTCCTCATACACCCCAGCACCCTCACATTCAGAAGCCTCTGGTTTGCTCAGCACCCCAACACTTCCCCTGACCCTAACACTCTCCAGCCTGGAGCTCCCTCCCTGAGCCAGAAGCCTCTTCTTCACCTCTTCCTGCACCCAAATTCTCTCCCACAGTTTGTACATGTCACCCGTTCCCACACTCCCAACCCAGAGCCCACACATCCTATCTCAACTCAGTGAGAGTGAGTAAGGGCCGGGGCCTCTAGAAATGGGTGGGATGTTGGGGCTTGCCCTGACATTTAAAAAGTGATCTTGTGTGTAAAAAGATTGGAGACACTACCACCGTAAAAAAGTTTTAATTTTCAAATTTCATACCATGAAATGCGAATTTTCATATATAGCCTTTCAACGTGTAGGGGTACCAATTTGGGAAGGCCAAAGAACGATGTAGAAGGCAATAGAACTTTTTCAAACTTTCTAGCACGCTTGCAGGTGTGTTTGGGACTGTTCTATCATGGCAGTAGGTAGGTAGCCAGTCTTCCGCAGTCACTGGTGGTGGGGTATATATATATATGGCAGCACGCGTCTGTACGTAATAGTAGTAGTAAATAAACATTTGCAATAACTTCTCAAAGTAACTTGCGGCCATTAAATTTATTCTAATCGGGAAAATAATTTTTATAGATTTTTTTAATTAATATATTATGGCTACGATTAAGAAAAGGAAGTATAATACACTTCCGATAATCCAGCACCTTTGGGACATAGGTGGTGCCAGATTATCGGATATGCCAGAGCTACTATAAGAGGGCATCCTCCCAACCCAATCTCTCCCCCTCCCCTTATGCTTGGGTCCCGGAGTCACTGGTGCAGCCGCGCATCTCCCTCCTGGCGTTGGGGCAAGTGCGCTGAGTGGCCGGCTTCTCAATGAGCTGGCCGGGACATCGTGCACAACCCCATCTCCCTTCCCTTCCCCAGAGCCAAACACCTCCCCTCCCTGCTGTCACCCAATCCCCCTTCTCCTCCAACTTTATATCCAGATCCCAAAGCAGCTGCCTGTGCTCAGCAGCTGGCTGCTAGCATATGCAGGCTGTACGTTGTGCGCACTGGGGACCGTGAGCAGAATGGCGTGGGTCACAGCAACCCAGCCATGAGAGCAGCTGATCTGAGCGGTTCCAGTTGATGCCGGACTATCAGGAGTGCTGGACAAATGGATGCCGGACTAATGGCGTTTTACTGTAAAATGAAGACTACATTAAGTATGGCTTCACCATCATGGAAAAAAATGGGACTCATCATCCTCAATGCATATATAGTATGCCACACAGTTCTTAGCAATGACACCTTGAGACCTAGTTGTCTTGGGCAACATTTGACGAAGACCCACTGCGCTTTGACAGAGAAACCAAAAGATTTTTTTGCTGATAAACTTCAAAATTTGAAACGCATGAAGCTGGACACTACTGGAGCTTTTCATCAAGCGTTGGCCAAAGTGGTAGAAGCATCTTATGAACTGTCATTGCTCATCGCTAAAGCCAAGAAAGCGTGAAGCTTTGCTTGTTGAAAGCAGCTGATATTGTGGTTGGTGTTGAAAGCAAGAAAAAACTATTGGAAATGTTGCTTTCTGACAGTTCTGTGAAACATCACATCGATGAGCTGGTGAAAGATCTTAAACTTCAAATTGTGGAGGCAGTGTTGGCGTCTCCTTTTTTTTTTTTTTTTTCAATTCAGTGTGACAATACCACTGATGAAGCACAATGCTGTCAGTTGCTTGTATATGTTTGATTACTTAACAATGGAACAGTGAAAGAAATACTTTTTTCGAATAAATAGATGACCACATCAAAGGCTTTTGATATTATGAAAACAATTTCCGACTGTTTTGAAGAAAATAGACTTTCATGGGGAAAACTGGTTGGGGTATGCACAGATGGTGCTCCAGCAATGCTTGGCTCTCGTTCTGGATTTGTGATGTTGGTGAAAGAAAAAAATCCAGCCGTAACCACAACTCACTGCGTCATATACAGACAAGCGTGGGCCACTAAAACCCTTCCAGATGACCCTTCATTGAATTTGGCCATCAAAGTTGTCAATTTTGTGAAGAACAGTGCTTTAAATACGTGACTCTTTGATGCTCTTTGTACGGATTTGGAAGTGTATCATAAAACTCGTTTGTTTCACATGGAGGTACGATGGCTTTCCAAAGGTAACATGCTTTCAATATTACTCGAAGTAAAAGATGATGTGGAAATTTTCCTCAAGCAACAGAAGAAAGAAGAGTTATATCATGCATTTACGGACCAAATGTTTCAACTTTCACTGGCATACCTGGTGGATATTTTTGAATCTTTGAACAAACTCAATTTGAAGCTGCAAAGAAACAACGCTGCAAACATTATAGTGCACTATGATGCCATCAGAGCATTTACGGAAAAAATCCAGCTTTGGAAACATTAAACACAAGCCCAGACGCCTAACTTTTTGTCTTTTCCAACATTTTCATCACTTGCTGAAAATGAAGGTTTCCAAGAAGCTTGTAAAGAGGATGCGAAGAACAAAAATTGTTTCATCTGGACTGCCTTGCTGACGAGTTCATCCGCTATTTTACAGACAGCTTTTCTGGCAAACCCATTCATAAATCAGAATGCAATACATTCAACATTGATGTTGATTCATTACCAGAAGTATTGCAAGAACAAGCACTCAAAATAAAATATGATTCAAGTGAGAGAGAGAATTTCGAAAACACAAGCCTGGAGGAATTTTGGATAAAATATTTCCCAATGTACTCAAAAGTTGGAGAAGAAGCACTACGTATTATTCCATTTTCATCAATGTACCTCTGTGAAAAAAGCTTTTCAGGTTCAGTCACATTAAAAACAAAACAAAGAAATCGACTGAATGTCGAAAATGAGTTGCGTTTCACACTTTCATCTTTCAAACCTAGGATTTCCCAAATCATGAAGAAAATGCAGCATCATCCTTCACATTAAATTCAATTTGTTTCTGCTATTTCTTATGTTAAATTACATTTTTATTAAATTTTTGTGCCAAGAGAAACTATTTGTGCATATCTTTAATTTTAAATAATTTTTATACCAAGTTTTTGTTTATTTTTAATTTTAAATTACAAATTGAATTTTTTGTTAAAAGAGAGGTTGGATGATGGTCAAGATGAGGTGGGGGGGGCGTGAGGGTTTCTCAAAAATCAAAAGGGGGATGTGATGCTGAAAAGTTTGGGAACCACTGATCTAGATTATGCTTGGTTATGCCATGAGGGCCGGGGACTGGACTGGATGTGATCTCTTGAGGTCCTTTCCAGTTTTAGTATTCTATAATTCTATGTAATGCCTTAAAAAGTTAAGTACCTAAGTCAGTTGACATTTTGCCTTCCACAAATTTTATGTCTAGCCACTGTTACTTTTGATCTCCTGCATTAGCATGATGATATGAATCTCCTTTTATACTGCTCTGGAAGTGCCCATGCGTGCACTTTCCTAGTTATTGAGTGGAACACATATACATTTCATAGATTTTGGTCATTGCTATGGAACTTTGCATGTAGGAAATAAAATAATTTTATGAAACTTAAGATCGATACATTCCCCATAGCCTTTAAAAGGAAGGCTTTACTTACCTTTTCAATTATTTGTCCTGATCAAAAATAAATACTATATGGATGTGACAAACCCAGAAATCCGGGATTTTCCCAAATAATAGCAGCTGTCAAAGTCATGCTGGTCACTATGCAAGAGGGGACAGAAGGGGAAGGGTAGGCAAGGGGCAGAAAGTGTATGTTGTGGTCCAAGAACAGTGTTCTTAAGACATGATACTTCCATGGTGAGAGGTTTTTGGATCTATAGATGGAATTGTTTTGACCCAATGAACATTTCCAGGGCAAAAGCAACAGAAAATACAGAATTAGATGGCCCCAAGGCGAGAGCAGTAGCCTAGAGCAGAACCAAAGCAGGGGTTTCTTTCCTGGTGGTAATTCTGGAGGTCTAAAATAACTTTGCTGTACTTTCCTTCTTCTTTCCAAACTTTTGTTTCCAAGATGTGTGAATACTTTTTTAAAATCATGAGATGAAGCTTCTACATTTCATTTGTTAGCACAGCTGTCTAATCTTACCAATTTGTGTGTCCAGACTATATTCCAGTCATGCCTTTTCACGTATATGTTGAAGTTGTAGAGTTTAGCAGATCAATAAAGTATCGTCTGGTTGTATAATTTTTTATTTTTTTTTAACCACAGAGGCTTAATGATAAAACGGGATCGGTTGCTTCTGAAAAAAGTTGACATTTGAGAACTGAATATCCTGCTGTTATAGCACTTCATCTAGCTGCAAACTGCAGATCTTCCTTTCTGCAAACATGAAGAAATGCAACAAGGACCTAACTGCACAGCAAAGGATTTATCTTTATAAAGACATTCTTCTAAGGCTTTGATTTATTTTCTGGTTGCACTGAAATGAACTACTTTTTAAGATTTCCCAGACACTGCAAGATATTAAATTCTACAAACCATCATTATTTTCTCAGTATGACAATACTAAGTACAACTACAAAAAGTTGGAGGGCTAGTAAACTGAAAACACTTATTCCAGCCACATATTACTTGGTTTTAGGAGTCTTAGCAACCAACCAACTTTGTCTCTGCTGCACTTGCAAATGCTTTCAGATCCAGCTTGTAATTGGCTGCATGGATTTACTGTTAGGTCTTTTTGACTTTTTTAAACACGTTTTGAAATCTGACTCATGATACAAAGAATATAATTCTGAACTTGTCAGTCCATCAAATTTCGTCAGAATAAGAATTTCAAGGTAAAGTCCAAAAGTTATTAACATTAATTTAAGTTTTTTGGATTTCTAAGGTTGTTGCAGAAACCAGATCAGTTTAAATGAGCGAAAAAAAATCTTATCACATACGCCACTTTGAAAAGAACTGGTAGTGTGTAGCCTAACACCAAGTGCCTGTTGCTACCTCCATTGTTTTGAAATGGCTGCAGGCAGCTGAGCATGCATTAGACAAATCCTTGTAAGCAGAAGAAATATTCAACATTGCACCAGCAGCCTTCCCCATTGTTCTGCCTTTATTAGAAGTGCTGATGCCACTGTAGATAGCTCAGGCAAATTGTTACCTGGGTCTCTTCACTAATAAATTACCAACAAAAAGTGAGTCGATATTTAAACATTTTCCAATGAAATATACCAGTGGTTGAAATGTGTGAACTTACTGTTAGAATGTTTTCACTTAGCATAATGATTTCATGGCAATCACTCTATATATGCAGTGTGGTATAGATAAAAATTGGAGTAATGACCACTAAATTGTAAATTATTAGTGGAAAAGGACCCAGCTGTGATTAGACCTCCACTGTGTACTTAACTGGAAGAACATGTTAATTCTGCAATATATCTCTTGGTTAAACATTGCACAGTTCTTACCTCATTTCTGTAAATAAGGTTTTTGTGAATCTGTTTTGTATTGTGATAAATTCATAAGAAAACATTGATATTTTGATTTGTAATATTTCTAATAGGTAGATATAATCAAATAATTTATTTTTATATGTTCTTTGGCATTTTAAAAAATTGTCACATCACTTGTGTGGATATTTTGCAAAAAGTAAATCAGTGTGGTTTATTTTACTTAACCCACTGGTTTGTATTCTGTAACAATTTGTACAAATGATAAAATTAAAATGTGCTGTTATTTTGCCTAGATGTAAAATTCCAAGAGTATGAAAAGATATGTACAGAGCTTTTGTTAATAAATTTTAATAATGTTCATAGTGGTACACTTCACAACTGTGTGAAAGATTTTTGTAGAGGTTGGAGGATATTCTGTCCTTCCAATTCTATTAATATTCCATGATGGGCCAGATTTTAATACTGTTGCAATACTGTAAGAATCAGCCATCAGCCTTATACTAAAATTATTTACGATGACCAGTTTCTTTGTTTCCTTTCGTCTAATTTTGCTTGCAAAATACATTTTAACACTAATAAATAACTTGTAACTTTAAAATAAGGGGTCTGGCGGGGGAATGAAGTGCCTCTGCACCAGGAATGGTAGCACAGGGAAATTCTGTCCCCTGTGCTGGCTTGCTGGCACCACCCCCTTACTTCTCTTTGCCAGGAATGCTCTCCAATGGGAGCAGCTCCTGCCAATGGAGAGCAGCACAGAGCCACCTGCGGATCCCTATCCCACCCAAATCATATAGCCCCCCAGCCCATTCTCCAGTAGCACCACCCCAGAGCCTAGGATGATCCCACATTATCTACTAGCTCCAGGTCCTTAAGAGAGTTAATAGGGCCCTGGCTAGAATCCTTGAGCCTTGATGTCCCTCTTTCCCCCAGGCTGGAGTGCAAGGGGAACCCTGCCCCCAGGTTGCATGATTGAGGTGTGTCTGTCTCTCTTTTTCTGCTTATCATGCATGAAGCGGTGTTTTTTTGTTTTGCTTCTCACTTGTGTGTGGCCCCTGACTGCAGTAAAGGTTGATGTCTAGGGGTACATTGAGTTCTGTCGACAAAGCAAGCTGCTTTGTCAACAGAACTCCGTAGTCTGGACGCAATGTTACAGGCAATAACACCTTCTGTCGACAGAGTTCTGTCGACAGAAGGTGTTATGCCTTGTAAAATGAGGTTTACCAGCGTCGACAAAACTGCTGAGTTCTGTCGACGTTATGTCGACAGAACTCAGCGGTAGTGTAGACGCTGGTATAGTTTTGTCGACAAAAGTCCACTTTTGTCGACAAAACTAGGTAGTCTAGACACACCCTAGGTTTGCCATACACTCTGTGGCTTCCTACACCATGGAATTAATCAAGGCTGTCCCATTGGAAAAGGGTCTTATTCTCCCTATTCATACAGGCTGTCTCTACACTTGCATGATTTTGCGCAAATACTTAACGGAAAACTTTTTCCATTAAAAGTATTTGCACAAGAGAGCATCTATACTGGCATATGCCTTTGTGCAAAAGCATCCTTGCCCGTGCAGACGCTCTCTTGCGCAAGAAATTGATGTTACCTGTCTCAACTAGCCTCTTGCGCAAGAACACTTATCCCTGAGCAGGAGCGTCAGAGTATTTGCGCAAGCAGCACTGATTTCATACAGTAGAACATCAGTGTTCTTGCACAAATACTCATGGCCCGTGTAGACAGGTGGCAAGCAACTGCTTTTGAGCAAAATCTTGCCAATGTAGACACAGCCACAGTGGATGGGTCCAGTTGTGTGTTGACTACAAACCGTGCTGTGAAGGCAAGGTTATAGGGGAAAAGGCATTCTTAACTAGCAGTAGCTTTTGTACTGCCTGGTGGATTTCAGCTATAAAAGGGCTTATAAGTTGAGTACAGGGACCAGCTTGAGTTGTATGAAGTAGGATTTGAGCAAAGCTCACAAGCCCCTTGTCCGTTATTCCATGACCCTATAATGAAGTTCTGTACAGGCAATACAGCTTGAGAACAAATTGTTAATAATCTTGAGCAACCTGCTCCATAAAAGCTGAAAGCACGTTTTGTAATGTTGCTGCCTTAAATGTGGATATACAGCAGCACTTTCATAAAGTGTCAAAGAGCAAGCTGGGAAAAAGTATATAAAAGGGCACTGTCACAGACAACAGATCATTGAAAAGAGTTGTTGATCTGCCTTACAGCTAGAAGAGCAAGACTTAGGCTACATCTACACTGCAGGCTTCTTGCACAAGAGCATATCCACACTACAATGTGCTTTTGCGCAAGAGTGTCCATGGCAGCGTGGGTGCTCTCTTGCGCAAGAAAGCTCTGATGGCCATTTTAGCCTTTGGGGTTTCTTGCTCAAGAAACCCATTACCCGTCCATACTGCCTTCTTGTGCAAGAGCTCTTGTGCAAGCGGGCTTATTTCTCGTGGGGAAAGGAATAACTCCTGTGCAAGAAGCCCTCTGTTCCACCGCTTTACTGTAAATTTACTGTAAATTTACTTGCGCAAGAATGTGTGTGTGGTGTAGACGCTCCGCAAGTTTTTGCGCAAGAATGGCTATTCTTGCACAAGTAGCCTGCAGTGTAGACGTAGGCTTAGTGTTATATTTTAAAAAAACAATCCTATGCAGAGCTGCAAATCTGTTATATAGCCCCTAAATGGAGCCTACATTTTCAAAATGGTATTCTTGCAAAATAGTGCTGTCAATGCTTTTTTTTTTAAACATGACCTATTACATGGTTCAATTTCAGCCCACTAGATGGGAATCCTTCAGTCTCATGATTCAAAATGGGGTTGATGTGAGAGCGAGTATTTTTTTACCACAGATGACCTGGACTTATACCACTGGAAATCATACTAAGAGCTCTCTGGTAACTGTTATTTAAACATTATTTAGAGCATTTATTTTCATTATGGTCCCATGAAGTTGTCAGGCCTATGAATGGAACACTGTTCCAGACATCTAAAGTGATGCAGACACCACTCCCTTTACGATCTCTCTCAAAGTATCCTTTCACCATCACCCTAAATTTCTATCCAAGATTTCCTTCAAATTCCATCTTAGCCATTGTATTTTCCTACCTGTTCTTTTTCAGAAATCTCATGCTTCTCCTGAAAAGATCTCTCACTCCCTCGACGTTAGACATGCACCAGCTTTTTACCTGGAAAGAACCAAGCCCATGAGAAAAATCTCTCAGATCCTGTGTCACATTAGCATAGAGATCTTGGGATTAAGCTACATCCTCTCAGAGGATTTCTAACTGGATTTTTGACTGCATTATTAAATGCTACAGACCACACTGCATCCTGTCTCCCAGTTGTATAATGGCCCACTCCACAAGAGCATAGGGCACCACAGTAGCATTGCTACAGGAATTCCTGAAGTAAGACATGCAAAGAAGCCACCTAAAGCTCCATACGCACATTTGCTAGGTATCATGCATTAGTCCAGGCTACTGCTGAGGATGCAGGAGTGGGATCTGCAGTCTTGCATGCATCTTTGTTGCCATCTTACACCCAGTCTGAGGACTGTTTGTCCACCCCACATGTGGAATACTTACTATAATTTCCATTTCCAGATATGTGGCCCCTTTCGGTATTCCACTAACTGCCATCCAACCATGCTGCTATGGATCTACTTGAATTTTCAGAAAGAGGAGGAACTAAAGGGATGTTGACCCACACTTGCCTCTTATGACTGCTTCTTGGAGCAGCTAGTCCTAGAACTCACCAGGATAGACACACAAGGAACTGGTTCAAGAGGTAACTATAGGTGAACCACTTGATAATAATGTAATTAAATGTAACATTCTTATCATGAGAAAATACCAAAGAAACATTTAATTTCAAAAAGAGGGACTACACAAAAATTAGTTACATGGAAATGAAAAGGAACAGCTACAAAAGTGAAGTTCCTGTAAGCTGCATGGAAACTAGTGAAAACAAGCATAGCGGCTCAAACTAAATGTATATCCCCAAATTAAAAAAAAAAAAAAAAAAAAAAAAGGTAAGAGGACCAAAAACTGCTACCATGGCTAAACAGCAGAGTAAGAAAGACAGCTAAAGGAAAAATGGAATCCTTTAAAAACTCAACTCCTTCTGAGGAAAGTAGAAAAGTGCAAGTTATGGCACAAGACACAAAAACTAACGGCAAAATTCTTTAAAGTATATCAATCAGAAGAATCTTATTACACAATCAATCAGTGGGGCTACGTTATGACCAAGGTACTAAAGGAGCACTCAAGGAAAAAGCCATTTCAGAAAAGCTAAATGAATTATTTGGGTCAGTTCTCACTGCATAATTTAATCTTTTTAGTGAGGCTTGAGGCAAAAAAACCCTCATGCTTCTCAGCTGGGGCATGGAAGGGTTGATGTCAAACATTATCAAATTGCCCCTCAACCCAGAAGGAGGACAGTAATGTAGGTGGGATGGTGGGGAACTCATAGAATGTATATATGGACAACACATCTTGAAGAACTGCATTAGAGTAAGGTAATTAACTTCTCATTCTCCTTTGTGTGACTGTGCATATAGCTTTTCATGATTGTTGACTCCCAATGAGTGGACCACTGCATTGGAGTGCATAGGTCAGGTATAGAAGAATAATTAGAATGCTACCTAACCAAATGCAGAAGCTGACCCAGAGACTTTTGTAAATCTATAGTGCTTAGTGAATATGTGAACAGCTGCCTTGCTGAGTCTACTTCTTCCTCAGGAAGAAGGGATCTTGCTCAAAAGGGGGGTTTTGCACAAAAAGGCACCATTTACACAGTGCTTTTTTGCGCAACAAACTCCTCTGGAAAAAGGATAAGAATAGAATGTGCAAATGAGTGTGAGATATGCAAATAAGCACTCAATTTGCATTTCCTCTTCCGGAAAAAGTTCATAGTGTAGCCCAGTGGTCACCAACCAGTCGATCGGGATCAACCGATAGATCTTGGAGCATCCGACAGGGGATCCTGACTGGTTTGGCCAACATGCTATTATCAAGTGCCAGCACTTCAGCTCCCTCCCTCCCCCTGCACTGCTGTGCATCTCCTGCCCTTTGCCTTGGAGCTGCCCCTCCCCGTGGGAGCCTCCTGCTTTCTGTGCAGGACAGGGCAGGGTAAGGAGGGTGCTGATGTCAGGGTGTCCCCTCCCCCCCATTCTGTATCCTATCTCCACAGAGCAGAGAGGGAGCATAACAGGACTTGGGAGGGAGTTTGCTGGCTGCTTTAGAGAGGGGGCAAGGGAAGGGGGGAGCCTGCCTTAGCCCCCCTGCACCACCACCCTGGAGCCACCTGAGGTAAGCAGTGTCCAGCTGGAGCCCACATCCTACCCCAGTCGTGAACCCCAAACCCCTGCCCTGAGCACTCCAGCACCACAACTGCCTGCCCCAAGAGCAGCTCAGAGCCCCTCACACTCCAGATCCCTTAATCCAAGACCAGAGCCTGCAGCCCAACCCCCTGCCCCAGCCTGATGAACGTGGCCCAACCCACTGCCCCAGCCTGCTGAAAGTGAATGAGAATGGGGGACAAACAGGGATGGAGTGAGCGGGCTGAGGCCTTGGAGAAGGGGTGGAGCAGGGGCAGGGCCTAGAAGGGGGAGGGAAGAAGGCGGGGCCAGGGCATTTATATTTGAGGTAGATCTTGGATTGCACTTAAATTAAAAAAGAGATCTCATGCTCTAAAAGGTTGGAGACCTCTGGTGTAGCCGTAGCCTATTAGAGGAAGCTTTACATGGGAAGGCCCTTCTTCATTCATAACAAGCTCTTATACAGCCAAATATACATTTAGGAAATGTGGGAAGGTCTTTCATCTTTTCCACAATTGCTACAAAGTGTCTTGTTGAATATCTGAATTTCTTCATTCTTTGTAGATAAAAAAGCCCTGGAACTCTAATATCCAATGGCTACGTCTAGACTGGCATGATTTTCCGCAAATGCTTTTAACGGAAAAGTTTTCCGTTAAAAGCATTTGCAGAAAAGAGCGTCTAGATTGGCACAGACGCTTTTTCGCAAAAGCACTTTTTGCGGAAAAGCTTCCGTGCCAATCTAGACGCGGTTTTGTGCAAGAAAGCCCCAATCGCCATTTTCGCCATCGGGGCTTTTTTGCGCAAAACAATACTGCGTTGTCTACACTGGCTCTTGTGCAAAAGCATTTGCGCAAGAGGGCTTTTGCCCGAACAGGAGCAGCATAGCATTTCTGCAAGAAGCACTGATTTCAGACAGTAGGAAGTCAGTGTTCTTGTGGAAATTCAAGCGGCCAGTGTAGACAGCTGGCAAGTTTTTCTGCAAAAGCAGCTGCTTTTGTGGAAAAACTTGCCAGTCTAGATGCAGCCAATGAGTGTAAAGCAGCCTCCAACTTGCAAGCATGAGGCTTAGGAAAAATACAGATAAATGAATTTTCTGATTTAGATTGAAATTTTTATCAAAGAACAGAATTATGGAGTTCTGAGAGAGTCTTCAAGGGTGTCCTATCAAGATGGATGGCTGCAAAAGAAACGTCAGCCATCAGGATTTTGATCTTTCCTAACTTTCTCATTACGATAATGGTCACCAGTAATGAAGTGTTCATGGAGAGGTATAAGAGGGAACTCAACCATTGGTTCAAACAGAGAGCCTGTAAGTGCTGAAAGAACCAAGTTGACAATCAATGGGGGAATTGGCTCCTGACAAGGCAGAAGAACTCTTATCCAGCCTTTTAAAAAAAAATGAGGCCTGAGCGTGGGAAGGTAGATTTACCCTTTATAAGTGGATGATGGAGACTTCTCTGACTTAGCCATCAGGTCTTCAATGATCTTAAAAATCAAAAAAGAGTCCAACAAAAAGTAGAAACTCCATCAAGGACGAATATAAACAAACAACACAAGTCTGCAGAGACAAAATTAAAAAGGCCAAGGCACAGAATGAGATCAAACTAGCTATAGAGAAAGGGTAACAAGAAAATATTCTACAAATACATTAGAAGAAGAAAATCAAAGACAGGGTAGGACCATTATTCAGTTGGGGGAAAAGGTGAATAAAAACAGAGAATGTGGAAATGGCATAAGTGCTTAATTTCACCAAGAGGTTTGGTGGAGACTGGACATCTAACATAGTGAATGCCAGTGAAAATGAGGTAGGATCATAGATTAAAAAAGAACAAGTTAAAATTACTTAGACAAATTAGATGTCTTCAAGTTTCCAGGGTCTGATGAAATATATCTTAGAACATTCAAAGAGCTGACTGAGGAGATATCTGAGCCATTAGTGAGTATCTCTGTAATCTCTCCATCTTCCATGACTTTTCAGAAGACTGGAAAATGGCAAATATAGAGCCAATCTGTAAAAAGGGAAAAATATAAACTGGGGGATTAAAGACCTTTACTGAAGTCAAGATATACCATGTCAACTGCTTCCCCCCATCCATAAGGCTCGTTACCTTGTCAACGAAAGTTGTTTGATTCTATCTCACATGATCACCTCATAAATTAGGGAAATGCAACCTAGATGCACCTACTATAAGGTGGGTGCAAAACAATTCCCAGAAATTAGCTCTCAGTCACGCTGGAAGGGTATGAGTGGGTTCTACAGGGATCAATTCTGGGTCCAGTTCTGCTCAATATCTCTGTGCAACAGCACCACTCAGCTAGGAACACTCCTGCTGCCCGATGTTACAGACTCCCTAGGCTTCCGGCCTGCTCTTGAATCCTGCCCCTATTCCTGCCCCAGCCTTGCCTAATAGCTCAGGATATGGCAGTTAAAATTATATTTTACAAAATTTGAGACATTCCTGAGGAATCTGAGCTGTAGACTTCCTGTTTCCCCTGCTAGACAGAAAAAAAAACAAAAACAAACTCCATACCCCCAAAGATGAAAAAGAGAATCCATTGCTTTAAAACCCTATTTTTACTCAACTGCTGAAAATTCCACCTTGAACTCTTGATCAATAAATATAATAGTTAAACTCAGAATAACTTTTATCTGGCATAGAAAACATTAGTAAAATCAGTGAAGTTTTTCCAGACACAAGATAACATAACTGAAATAATGATTTAGTTACATCTGAGGATCTGGGTTTTAGTTCTCAGCAAAATGAAGAAAGTTGACTCTCAAATGAAATTCCAAGTGAATGAAAAGGACATACTGGATATGTAATACTATTCTGTCTCTGAAAATCTGCTGAATAATTCCACAGTCAATATTATACATGTCTATTTCTAAGTTAACTTTTAGGGTTATTAAGTTAAAATTTGCACCTTAGAATTTTTATTTGGAAAATAATTGCTAAAAGTAACACTAAATTTTATCATATAGAGGACATAATTTTTCAGAGCTGGGCAAGAACCAGATTTTCTATTTCACGGAAGTTTCCACAGTCTGAAAGCTTTTTCTTTTCTTAAACAGGACAAAAAAATTCAAAATTTCCCATGCAACAAAGTTGTTGTGGATCAGCTGAAACATTGTTTTAATTTTGATATTTTTATTTAAGAGTATGTGTATATGAATAAAACAAATATAAATTAAAAATATGCTAAAAAATTTGAAATTTCATTCTGAAAATTTCATTCTGAAAACAGAATATTTTCACCTCATTGAAATATACCCCCCCCTTTATTCTTCCCTCAAATGAAATTTTGTTTATACTGAGACATTTCTGCAATATGTTTCTTTCAGTGAATCAGTTTTTCAATGAAAAATGTTCCAGTGGAAAATTTCTGAGCAGCTCTGCTCCTAAGCACAAATAGCTTCCACTGATTTCAGCTCTGGAACTATAGCTGTCTACCATCCCTTTAAGGAGAAAAAAAGGCCTTTAAACCATATCAGCATTAAATATTTATATTAAATTTTAGAGTAATTCTAAAAGAGGCCGTAGTCCTTCATATTCTGGCACAAGAGTATATTTCACATCTCCAATTTGCTGGTGTCATTTTAATGACCTTATCACTCCATTGTTTAAATCTTCTTATAGCTTTTCAAAGTTCTAAACAGCACTGCAGCAAGTGATGAACTATAACTAAATATAGTTGCTCAGCTGTAAAAATGAAACAGCAAAAGTAACAAAAGGAGAACTACAAATAGGAAAAATTAAAATAATAGTGGGGATATGAATGTTGATATTTAAATCAAATTCTGTAAATTCAAAATCTGAATGATATGAAACATATGTTAGAAGTAAACCCTCTTAAAACTTTAATTAAAATATAGCTAAATAATAGCACTACTTAATATTACTGCATATTATCACAAGCTATGTGAAAGAGAAATTATATTGCAGGCATAATATATATGAATATGTGTAACGTTCATAGCTCTAAAATATATAACACACATTTTTAAGTAGTATGTGTACATTAAATGTATGTACACACATCTACGCAGATACACATGCATAGCACAATCTCATTTTTGTTTACATTTTTAGAACTGCTTTTATATAAATGTACATCTCTTTTGCCTCCTGAAAGGTGACACCTTTTACCCTTTGTATACTGCACATTCATTCATACTGAAGTCACCATGCAATAAACTACAAGGGTCTTCTGAAAGATCTACCAGTTACCAAGACATATGCAGTAAGATGTCTGTGAAGGTCGTTCTCCAAAACAAAATACATTTAAATTCTTCAACACAGAAAATTGTTAAGCAAGACAGCATAAGATTTATTGATATTTTGTTTTTACTAAGGCACATGACAGATAGAAATACTGCAGTACAAAAATTCAAATGTCTGCATATGAGATTTAAAATATAATCTCATTCTGAAAAATAGAAATAAAACTCTTTTGCTCAGAAGATTCAGCTTTTAGCCATTTTTTTCTTTTGTACCAGTTCAACAAGCAACTTGTATCTTGCCACACACTCTTCCTGTAAAAAAAAACACAACACACAATTTTTATCTTTTAAAAGGATTAACTATGATTTAGTATCTTCCTATTACTTCTATTGAACGCATTTTATGTCTTATAAAAACTGTTAAGGATGTTTTTAAAGTAGTTTTACTACTGAAAACATGTAAAAGAATATTCACCCATGTACTGAATGTTCAGAAGTCCAAGGCAATCTGCAGATAATGAAAATTGGAGTACGAAAAAGAATTTTCAGTGCAGGGCCCTTTACAGATGTTTTTAGAGATCAGAGAAAAATAGAAGAAAATGTGCCTTATATTAACAGTCTCTTTCTTGACAACGTCTAGCAAACTAATTATTAAAATAGGGAACCAGCAGAGTTTTGTAATATTGTCAACAGTGTCTCTGAAATTGCCTCACTCTTAGGACTTGTCTACTCATGAAAATTTACCAAAACAGCTACCAAGTATAGAGCCTGGAACAGGTAATTCATATATTTCCAAACATAGACAAGCCCTTACTGTTACTCTAATGTAGCAAACCCATCATAGAATTTGAATTGCTGGACAATTTTGAGAGCAAAACCGCCTGTTGGTTGAACCCCTCATGCACTTCCCTCCTTACTAACATTGATCTTTTGGTGCAAGTAACATGAAGATAACCTGCTGCTTCAAAGCATCAGCACTGGATCTCACTGCAAATTGAACTGAATCACAAATACTGGGCTCTTACTGAACCTACCCAATGACAAACTAAAGGTTTGGTCATGAACACGTTGCCTTTGTTAGTTCTGCCTAGGGCTTGTCTTCCATATAATTTAATAGATTTTTAATTTCAGCTTCTCCACATGCTTTTGCTTCATTTTCTAGACATTAAATACGATCTTTACATAAAGAGAAATTATGTTATCTAAAATATCCTAGTATACTGGTAAATTAAATAGGTTATTGAGGATTATGACAATCATTGGAATTACTTCTATTAATGGTTCATTCATCAACTGTTCAGTGCAGAAGATGCTATAGAAAACGTGAGCATGGAAGATTATCAAACATTCAGTCACCAAATGCAACAATTAGAATTTGATGAAAACTTGAATCTATTTTCCTCTAGCCTTTCCAATTTTTAACTGTGAGTAAAGTCTGATACTTTAAAAAATGGCAGTCAGTTTGACTTAATTTTTCCAACACGAAGAAAATAATTTAAAAATAAAGTATCAATCTATGCGGAAATAATACCTTTGAGTTACCAGATAGTAACAGGCTGGATTAAAGACCTCAGGCTGGTAGCCACTTGGTAGGAAAAGTCCTATCCAGATAACTTATTGGTTTATAAGTAGTTTAAACCTAGAGAAAACAATGACCATACCTTACTTTTTCCTGGGACACATTTTGCTATCTTATCCCAGCGGTCTGATGTTCCCTTTGGATACTGTTGTAAGGCTAATTCAAGACGATTCTGTTGATTCTGAGTCCACAGTTCTTCAGAACCATGGCTTTTCTCTTTTTTTCTGCTCTCATCATCGCTATATTCATCCTTTTCTGTGTTATCAAAGTCTTTCTGACGCTTTCCCCTGCATTTATCTTCTACCACCTCTTTCATTGTTGCTAGAGTTATTTCAGATGAATTGGCTATTTTTCGCTTGCGGTGTCTAGTTTCACTTGGCATAGCCTCTCTGTGATTTGTTGGAATATCCATCTGTTCTGGGTCATGATCATAGTTCTCCTTCTCTTTCTCCTCCTCCTCCTCATCTATATCTCGCTGTGTAATTATATTGTCTGGCAAATCCAAGTTGGTTTTGGCATTTCTCGAATTCTGGGCCAAGTTTCTAAGATCAGAGAATCTAACAATTCCTGTTGGAAATAGCATTATATGTAAAAACCACTGACGTCAAATGAAAAGAGAACTGGGTAGTGCTAAGAGATCTATAGCTGTGAGACAGAGCAGGGAGAGCCCTTGTGGTTGACAAACCAAGTTACAGAGTCCCCCAAAAACCAACAGAACTGCAGGAGCAGAGGTTGTGGCATAACTCCCTCTCAGTAAATTGGAAGCCAGTTAAAGTGAGTGTGGAAACAAACAAAATATTACAGGAATTCTAACGCTCTCCCTTCCCTGAGCATTTCAAAATACTAAGGGCAATTTTCTGCATTTTAGAAGGTTTTAATTAAAAAAAAGTTTAAAAAACATTTATCTTTTATCCTTCTATCTGTAGTAACCTGCCAAATTCATCACTTACAAACCACAAGGTTCATATATATTTTGGGCTAGATCCACAAAGAGGGCTTAAATTCAGTGTCACAGTGCCTAAAATTAGGTGTCCTGCCATCCAGTAGAAGCCACCTCTGGTGCCCAGATGGGCATACTATACAATGCATGGGGTGAAATGCAAGTTAGGTGAGTAGGAAGCTACCTAATTTAAGCAACAAAACATGCTGGGCAGAGGGATGGGGTCAAAGCCCCACTCCTCAAAGGGAGGTGCCTGTCTCCATGTGGGGGGTTTATGGTTGCAAACTCTCTCCTAGAGTTAAGTAAGTCAGGTCAGCCTTATAGCCCACTGCTCACCTAAGATGTGGAAGTCGTAGGTTCAAACATACCACTCCTGATTCTCAGCAGTCACTTGAATCCAAGTCTCCCCCCCACAGAAGAATGCTCTAACCACATAGGCATTCTGCAGAAGGCCTCTTAAAGTCTCTCCTGTTGAATCTGTCCCATACTTTTTTATAAAATACTCAAATAGACAATGGAGCATGAACTGGAACCTGCAGCTCCAGAGAGTATACACTGACTGTAGCCTAACGAGTATTCTCATTCTCTCCCTAGCCTAGAGTTTAGGCACCAAATAGCTCTGAGGTACCAAGACTCTGAAGGCTTTGGGCATGCCATGGAAGAAATGTAGGCATCAAGGGGAGTTTACTGGGGAAACTCAGGTGTAGTTAGGTGACAGCTGAAAAGAAGTTTTAAGGCTCTGAATTTTGGACTTGTGTCTAAAAAGCCTACTAAGCACCTAAGTCCCTTTGTAGATTTATCTCTTGGTGTTTCCCCTCAGATATACAACACAAAAGGCCAGCACAAACATTAAAAGTTCAAAGATGGTTATTCCCACTATACATGATGCATGAGGTCCCCATCCAATGGAATGTTTCTGTGTATTCTGATCTGTTTCCAGCTATGAATTACATAATGCAGAGTATACAGTTATACTGACAGAAGGGGGACTGGGTGACTATTTTGAGCAAACAGAGTTAAGGAATAAATGCAAGGGAAATACAATAAAAGAGTATGAATACCTGAAATTAAAAAAAAAAATCACTAAACATTGTATATGTACTTCCTGTTCTAACCCCACCATTTCTTTTCTTTCTACCTCTCTCCAAACCAGTCCATAATAGCAACCTCTTCTCATTGTTTCTCTGTAACTGTGTTTTCTTTGAAGTTCATAATCCCCTCTCCTCTCATTCCTTATATGTCATATTTATTGAATTCTCTGTTGTCCAAATTCCCATATCATTGTAAATTATCTAGTTTCCCTGGGTGCACTTCTGTTCTTTGTCCCCTGTGTTTATCCTGACTGCCCCAGCCTTCTCATATCTATCACTCTCAATCTACACCATTCCTTTTCAAATCTTCACTGGAAGAGGTTACAGGCAGGAAAGGAGAATTTTAGAAAATGTAAACTTACATCATTCCTGAAATGACTGATCTACTATACATTTATTGTTTGATTGCAATTTGAACCTAAGTGTCTCATCACAGTCATACAAGAAATTGAGCACGTATGTTCATCCTCGCTGCAAAGTATATTGTCAGATTCTTGTGTTACTCATTTAATGACTTTCTCATGGCTCTTGTGAGGGGTTTAGGAAATCCATTCTATTTAAATATGGAAGTTTTGGTAGCATTTGCATGCCACTATGAATTCATTATAATAAATGCAAGATTAAAATAAGATTCCTGAGAGCATGTATGGGATTAAAATTTGACTATTTTCTCCCAACATTCTAACGCACACAGAGAAAACGTGAAAAAATACAATTCAATTTCAATTTGAGCAAATAATGTAAAGTTTTTCTGGTATTCAGTAGGTTCTAGTAGCTAGATTTTATTTAATTCTGGCAAGAATGGCAAATCCAGAATATTCAAAAACAGATTACTCACTGAAACCATGAACATCCACTCCCCTAAAATAAGGGCTAAAATAAAATAAATTGGAAACAGGCAAGGGTTGAAATATTTTCAATTTTCTAGAAAAAGAAATTAAAAACTTTATAACAAACAAAATAGTAGCACCTTGAAAGGGGTTAAATACATTGTTAAAAATCCTGCACTGTATTCTCCAAGCCCAGATCCTTTTGTCAGTCAGTCATCTCAATTCAATTGTAAGCATTTCAGGGTGGGGAATTACCTGGTTATTATTTTAATCTCCAAGTTAACTAGCACACTCATAGACACCATTAGAATAAATAAACAGAATACAAATGTCCTAAAGAGAGCCTTTACAGAGCCACTTCTAAGGGGAGGACATCCTCAGAATGTCCATCAACCTTTGTGCTTGCTGAGAGCAGGAGTGTGGTGCTTTCACAGACAAAGCTACAAACATCCCTCTGAAAGCTGCAAAATGTGCTATATATTGGAAATGCATAACATAAATAATTTGTTTTTAATAGCATTGATTCAGACTTAGGAATACATACCTGGGGTATGTGCAACAGATTCCTTCAATTGCTTTGCTTTCATGGTGACCTGTTTTTTAAAAAAGAGCCCAAATTAAAAACTGCATTGTTGACTACTGATTATTCAATTAGGCTTTTAAAGATTCACAAACAGCTTACCCCCAAATATTATCATTTTAACATGTACAAAACACTACTGTGGTATCATACTAATGTTCTTCTGCTAGGTCTTATTCAGCAGCCCATGGCAGTTTTAAATGGTTAACAGCTGGTTTTTCAGGCTTAGCCTGCAGGGGAAAGGCATGGGAAAAACAGAAGCAATGTCACAACAGGAGTCTATTATAGATTACCAACTGAAAAGGCAGAGGTGGGTGAGACTTTCCCAGGACAAACAACAAAAATATGAAAAACACAAGCGGACTTTACTGATCCAGACATCTGTTGGAAAAGTAATATAGCAAAACACAAAATGTCCAGTAAGTTCCTGGAACATATTGGGGACAATTTTTGCTTCAAAACGTGGAGGAAGAGAGGAACAGCTATTTTAGACTTGATTCTGACTAATGGAGAAATTGATTGGGAACCTGAAAACCTAAGACAATTTGGGTGAAAGTGATTGTGATAGCCTTCATAACTCCAAGGAAAGAAAGAAACATGAGCAACAGAATAAGGACTGTGGACATAAAAAAATTATTTTAACCAACTCAGAGAGGTGATAGATAAGCCCCCCTGGGAAGAAAATCTAAGGGATAAAGGAGTTCAGAAGAACTGGCTGTTTCTCAAAGAAACAATAAATATTCAAGGTAAGAGGGTACACTATTCTGATGGAAGCAAAATAGGAAAAATAGTAAGAGGACAATATGGCTCTCTCAGAACTCTTTAATGACCTAAAGATCAAAAAGAATCACACAAAAACTGAAAACATGGACAAATTACTATGGTGGAGTACAAAAGACTAGCACAAGCAAAATCAGAAAGACAAAAGGAATTACATGGGATGTAAAAAGCAGTAAGAAGGATTTTATACGCACATTAGAAGCAGGAAAAAAGCTGAAGGAAAGTGCACATCCACTAGATAGTAAGGAAGGAGTTTTAACAACAGATGACATCAAGAAGACTGACACACTTAATGCCTATTTTGTTTCAGTCTCCAATAAAGTGGTTAATGGCGATCAGATGTATTAACACAATTAAAATTAAAAACAAAGGGAAAGGAATGCAAGATAGAGTAGGGATGAAACAATTGAATACAATTAGATTTATTTAAGGCAGCAGGGCCTGACAAGGTTCATCCTAGAACTCTTAAAGAACTACATGAAGCAATGTTGGAACTGTTAGCAATTATCTTCAAGAACTCATGGAGGATAGGGGAGGTCCAAGAGGATAGAAAAAACATAGCACCTGTCTTTCGAGAAAAACAGAGTGATTAATAATAGCCAACATGGATTTATTTGGAAAAATCATGCTGAACCAACTTAATTTCCTTCTTTCATGGGCTAATGGCCTAATGGATGGGGGAAGCAGAGGACATTATCTTGATTTTAGTAAAGCTTCTAATGTGCTCCCACACAACATAAGGTCTTATAAGGTTCCTTATACAATGAATGGAGAGAGACAGGTGCCAAAAAATGTGATCCACAAAAGCTAGCACACTATTCTGGGAGCTGCTTACCCTAGCCAATGGGAGATGTGGGTGAGAGAGGGCATTTGTGCCCTAAAGCTCTCATGAACATAGGCACCTAGTCCTGGATGCAGAGAACCTCTATCTTTGCTTGCAATCTCAGTCACGAACCCCTCTCCTGAAGGCAGGCAGCTCAGATGTCCAAGTCATTTCTTGTCAAATGAATTACCGTAGTCACCTGTCTCACTCTGCACAAACAGACCAGAGAAGGTGATGGTGGTGATCAACTTAACACTTTTAATTTAGTGGTGAGATCACTCAGCTGGGATATGGGGCTCCCTCAGCTTCCTCTATTGAAACATTTAACAAAGTCTCTAGTCCTGAGAAAGAGAATTACCTAATAGCCAATGGTTGGGCATCCACTGGGGAGGAGGGACACCCAAGCTACATCTACACTGCAGAGTTTTTGCGCAAAAACTTGCAGAGCGTGCACACACCAAGTGCATTTTTGCGCAACAAAGAGTACAGTAGATCATCAGAAGACAGGGCTTTTTGCGCAAGAGTTATTCCTCTTTCTACAAGGAATAAGCCTTTTAGCGCAAGACCTCTTGTGCAAAAAGGCGTGTGTGGATGGACAACAAAACCCCTATCAGAAAAAAGCACAGGTGCCTATGAATGGCCATCAGAGCTTTCTTGTGCAAGAGCATCCACAGCAGTGTGGACGCTCTCCTGCACAAAAGCATATGGCAGTGTGGATGCACTCTTGCGCAAGAACTTTTTATGGAAAACCTCTTCTACAAAAAGTTCTTACAAGAAGCCTGCAGTGTAGATGTAGCCCTAGGATTCAGTCCTAATTTTCCAGTAACTCTAATTATTTGTAAACAATGGAACTGCTTCAACAGGAGGGATTAAGGGAGCCTAACATCAGCTGAGTGGTTAAAGCACTCTCCTAAGCAGTATGGGAAAGCCCAGATAAGATCCTCTCTCTCTTCTGCTTAGGAAGGGAACTGAACCCAGACCCAAGTTGTCTAACCATTGAACTAAATGTTTTAAGGTGGGCAGTGGCACCGGCACCATCACCTCCTCTGGCCAGATTCTTAATAGTACCAGATTTGGCAGGTGGTTGCTGGGACTGGACTAGATGACCAACTGCAGTTCCTTCCAGTTCTACATTTTTATGATGCCTCTAACTTTTGTAACGTGTTAAATCTCTTCTCACATGTTAGCCTTTTGTTATCAATTTTCTTAATATCTGGATAATTTAGATTTTCTTAAGTTTAATCTTCAGCCTTGCCCCACAAATTCTGACATCAACTCCTTTGTACTTACTCTATGACGTCCCAGGGAGTTGATCTAAACGCCTTTCTAGTACACACACTGTCAGACTGGCTCCTCGTGATTCCAAGTTTCTTTATGGGTATCCACAACTTATGTCATGATAACAGGCACAGTCCTGCCAGTCTTTTATTGTTCTGATGTAGGGACACAAGGACATTCTTTCCCATTTCTTTGATCTGACCTATCCACTACAAGAAGATTTTATACTATGAACCAGAGTTCGTAAGCAATTACAGAACTGATCTTTGATCTTATCCCCGTAGTTGCCTGTAGGTGGGTAACACTGAATAACTGTCATTTTCACGGACTGTGTTTGATACTTAATGTGGAACAATATGCTATTAATCAGCTTCCATCTGTGATTTTTCTACTTCAGGATCCATGTTAATGCTGTTCCCGCCGAGTGGTAACCACCTTGCCTCCACAAATGTAACTACCTTCATTTTTTAATTGCTTTTTGTCAGCTCCTGGCCACTGACTTTCACTTAATTCCAAGGATTTCCAGATAATATGTATTCATTTTTTCCATCACTTGTGTGGCATTTGTTGTTGGAGCCATTGTTTTAGTGTTCCAGGAAACCTAGTTTCATAAAGATTTTTACTTTTGCAAAAAGTGTCATGGCTTTCTGTCATCTCTCACCAGCTTCTGTTTGGCATGCTGTTTGCCTGAATGGATACGTTGTTGTGGTTTTGTAACTTAACTTTTTATATAAAGATATGTTATTGGCCTATTTCTCAATCCTCAGTCTGGAAAACCAATGGCCAGCTCCTCCTGGCATAAGTCTTTGGGTCTACGGGACATATAAGTCTTTGTGGGGAAGTCTGCATGGCACTGTCTTGACCGAAGTATGGTCAGGTGATCAGGCAAGCTTACACCTGGATAAAGTTGGATGCAATATGAGTATGCAGGCAAGGCCTGAAGCAAGCATGTAAAAATACGGCTTTCTGTGCTTAAGGAAGTTGGCAGAGCATGACCACAATAAATAATCACAATGAATTAAATAGAAACATTCCAAAAGATAAGCAGAAGTATAAAACATGACCTGGCAGTCATAAAACTATTAGCCAAAAAGAAGTAAACAATTTACTGATTAACTCATCCATTACTAGTTTTACTTACGATACACTACTGTTGTAGCGTACTTTAGGTTAAAGAAGAAAAAAGCAATGTAGTTCTAGACAATGTGTGGTTAATCAGTTATAGGTAACCAAGTCAAGCCTAGTATAAATATAGGTTTAAGCAAGGCAATCACTAGGAGGGACTGAGCACGGTACATCCACATACTTTGTTTGTGGCAACCAAAAGCTGAACTGTTCATACTGGCAAATGCATTGTAGGTGCCTCCACGCATGGGGAAAAGAGGGGTCACAACCTCTTGTCCGGCATTGTAAGACTGCTTAACAGGTGAACTGTATGTGACTTATAGCTATTGGTAACATTAACTATAAGGTTTGCAATAAAGGTAAAAGTTGAGTGAATATCTCTAGTGTTTCCTGGCTCCTTTTGGGTCCAATACCTCAAACACACGACAATTGGTGTCATAAACAGGATACAAGGGGACCCAGATCACTAGGAAATTAGAAGAATGCCTCTGTTCAAACATACAGGAGGCCAGGAAGATCAGGACCAGCGATTGATACCAGGATGACCACCTGACAATCCCTGGACTGTTCTTACACAATATCTTGCACGAAGTCAGCCACCAGTCGGCTGGGTTAGAGATGAAATTAAGGCGATATGGTGAAAGCCTGGGGAACTTGTAGACATGCCGAAAGGACAAAACAGTACCGCTCATCAGGTGATCTCCTGGCTCTAGCTAACTGCCTTAGAGGCAGAAGACAGACATATGGATCAAGTAGCCAGTGAGCAAAACAAACTACATCTATAATTGGAACAAGCTGAAAATACCATTCAATTGTTAAGGCAGGGAATGAGGGAGGCGCAGAGTTTCGTAGACAGTCAAGAGAGGAAATTAAACGAACTCCTAGTATCGCAAGGGAGGCAGACCACTGAGATACAGGTGGCTTCTTATAGTAGAAACAAAGTTAGCAGTGCAAAGTTGGCAGCCTTATACAGGCAGGATGATTGAGACTCAGAGGATTGGGATGGA